TTCCCACGCGAAACCCTCGGGACCGTCGCGGTGGAGGGGGATGCTCCACTAGGAGATAGCGCTGCGCGTCGCCACTACACTGCGGGCCTTGCCGCGCCGCGTCCGGCCGCCGTACCTGGAACGCGTCCGTCATCCCGAATTGAATTGTGACAGCGGAGCCATTCCGAACATCGCTTTCGCCGCCGCCTCTGTCGCACTCGCGGGCCGCTCCGTACGGGTGCGAGAGAGACAGCAGAGCGACGAGAGCAGTGTTCTTCCCCGCGCCAGGCCGCCACGCTGTCCGCGTAACGCCCTGGCCGGCCGGCGCGGTGGTCCGCTGTGGGGAATCGAGCGCCGAGCTGGCTGCGCGTCCACGGCGTCCACGGCGTCCACGGCCCGCGCATGTGTCCGCCATAACCTCCTTCTTCGAGAGGCCCGGCAGGCCGGCAGGCCCGGCAGGCCCGCCTCTCCTCCCTCGCGGAGTATAAATCTTAATTGAGCTCGTGACGGCGTACGCGGGGCGGCAGGGCGGCCGGGAGGCAGGGCGCTGCACCCTTGCCGACACCTCGGCGTTGCTGGCCTCGGCGTCGTGCCCCCCCCTCCCCCTCCACACAAATCAATCATTAATTCACGCCTTTCCACGTTCAATTAAAAGATAACCGCATTGTTTGAGGTTCTGGCGCTCCGCGCGCGCTTCTGCGGACTTGCCCTGTTTTTAGCGGTCTTCCCGACCGGCCTTCCGGCTCTGATGAGGCGAGTGTCACTGCTTTGCCCCGGGTTCGCGAACGGGGCGCAGGGAGTTTGAACCGCGGGGTCGCTGCGTGTCTCGCGCACACTTCCGGCACGCCCCCGATCGAGTGCGAGAGAGACAGAGCGCGGGTGTCGGGGAGGCAGCGGTCGGCCACCAGAGCAATCCACGCCGAAAGATAATTAGGCTGTAATCCTGTTTAATCCAGATACAATGCAAGCAGAATGCCTCTCGCTCTGTCCGTCCGAGAGCGCCGCGCCGTGGGCTCTCTCCTCTCACTCGCTCTACTCGCCGGCGCGGCGCGGCTCTCTCTCTCGCACCGCGGACGCGCCCTCTCCGCCGCCCCGCCGCCCCGCCCTCCACGTCGTCCAATTTTTCACCCGGTATCGCACCCACATCGGCACGTCTGCTCGCCCAATGGCGGCCGAGCAATGGGACCGGGCTGGCCGGCCGGAGTTCCGTCAAAACGGTTTCGGGCGCGAGTCGGGATCGATCGCCGGACCTTCCTGTCGCACAGTGGGCCAGAAGCCGGTGGAGGCGGCCAAAACTCTAGACGCGTTTTGAGCTCCAGAGTCGCTAAATAGGCCTCGAACCGAACGTGTGACCCCACCAATGGATTCCTCGTTCGGAGAGCTATCCATTGGTGGGGTTACACGTTCGGTTCGAGTCCCATTTAGCGACTCTGGAGCTCAAAACGCGTCTAGAGTTTTGGCCGCCTCCACCGGCTTCTGGCCCACTGTGTGTTGGTTCTGTCGGGATCGGACGCCTCTGCTTTCCTTGAACGGGGAGGCAAACTCTGACAAAGGACTGATGTTTTAATTTTTGCGATCAAGGATTGCGTTTTCTTTCAGCTCAGAGCGCCTTTCTTTCTTAAAATGACCTTTAAATCCCTTCGCTTGCCGCGCCGCGCGGCCAAAGGCCCCCAAACGGGCGGCGCTGGCGGCATGCCGCCGACTGATTCCGGAGAGTCCTTTTCGTCGCTCTGTCTCTCTCGCACCGATACGGCACGCCCCATGAGTGCGAGAGAGACAGAGCGACGAAAAGGACTCTGCTGGCAGTGTAGCGGCGGCAGGCATCGGGTTGAGTCATCGCGGGTCGCGTGTAACGGCCTTGTAATGATGCCAATTAATTACTGTATCGCTATATCGTCCGTTCATTAAGAGCTGGCCGCCCTACGCAAAGCTGCAAAGGCAGAGCCGGGCAGAGCCAGGCAAGCCAGAAACGCCGTGCCGCGCCGCCGCGGCCCGAAGGCCTGAAAATGGAAAAGGCGGGCGCTGGCAAAACAAGCAGTCTCGAACCAGTTGCACGGTGTGCCGACCTCGTGAAGAAATCCCTTAATTGCGATTTTACTTTCGTTCGATCGAGTTTAAATCAGGCATGTTTCTTTTTTTAAAGTTTGCAGTGTTTCTCTTTTGGCAGGCGGCCGCGCGGTGCGACGCGGTGCGGTGCTGAGCCGCTAGTCACAAGCACCCCGGTCTCGCAGGCCAAGCAGGGCCTCGCCAAGCCCAAGACTGATTCAGCGCCGCTGTCTCTCTCGCACCTGGGCGGGCCTGGGCGGGCCGCCGCACGAGTGCGAGAGAGACGGACGAGCGCTGTTCGGAACGATCGGCCTGCGGAGCGCTGCGGAGCCAAGCAGGGTCAGTCGGGGTCAGCGCCTCGTAATAAGAATAAAAATTGGATCGGCGGAACAAAGCCAAAGCCGAAGCCGAAGCCTGGACGCGATCACGGCGGGGAAAGCAAGCGATCCTCGCGGCGGAAAAATGAACTAGATTCAGTTTGAGGGGCGCGGAGCGAAGCAAGGCGAAGCGGAGCCGTTCCCCCGGCCGGACGGCCATCGAAGACACCGCATTGAATTCGTCGTCGCACAGTGGGCCAGAAGACCGGTGGAGGCGGCCAAAACTCTAGACGCGTTTTGAGCTCCAGAGTCGCTAAATGGGCCTCGAACCGAACGTGTGACCCCACCAATGGATTGCTCTCCGAACGAGGAATCCATTGGTGGGGTCAAACGTTCGGTTCGAGCCCTGTTTAGCGACTCTGGAGCTCAAAATGCGTCTAGAGTTTTGGCCGCTCCACCGGTCTTCTGGCCCACTGTGCGCCGCACGTCCAGCAGACGGATGATTCCCGCGAGCCACGCTTTCTGTCCGCTCCGTCTCTCTCGCACTCGCGGGGCGTTCCGGCGGGGTGCGACAGAGACGAGGGACTCCTCCGGAATGGCTCGGCAGTGCCTCTCCGTGGAGCGATTGTCCATCGCGCCGCCCGGCCGTGTGCCGGAGTGACACATGATTATATGCAGATCGCCTTCCCCCTCGCCCCTCGCCTGCCTAATAGGGTGGCGGTGAAATAAAGACACGCTGACGGCGACGTGGTCGTCCGGTGCGGCCGGCCGGCGCCAGGGTACGCCGCGGCGCCTAGCCTGTCTCTGTCTGTCTCTCTCCCTTCGGTCGGCATGACGACGACACTGACGGCGCGGGCGTCGCAGAGCGTCGCGACGCCGCGTTTAGTCCGGAATGTTGATTGCAGTCTCGCCGGCCAGGGGGCGCCGCGCTGCGCTCGCTCTGCTGGCAGCGCCGCCACACTGCTCGGGGCGACGCGTCGCTGTCCGGTGCGGACCACGTGCGGGTGCACTGTGTCTCAAGACCGTGGCGTACCGGTACACACGGGTGCGCCCGGCCCACAGTGGCCCAGAAGACCGGTGGAGGCGGCCAAAACCCTAGACGCGTTTGGAGCTCCAGAGTCGCTAAATAGGAATCAAACCAAACGTGTGGCCCCATCAATAGATTCGTCGTTCAGAGATCAATCCATTGGCGGGGTCACACGTTCGGTTCGAGTCCCATTTAGCGACTCCGGGGCTCAAAAAACTTCACTGACCCCTCAAAACGTGTCTAAACATTTGGCCACCTCCACCGGCCCTCTGGTCCACTGTGCGGCCTAACGCTGTAGTGTACCGTGGTGCGGTACTCTGCCTGCGGACACCACTTTTCGTTGCGGCCACACTAGAGTCCCGAGGCCTCCGGAAACAATAAAGGCCGGCTCGCTTGATGTGGCCGGGATGCGTTTTTGGAGGTCAAAGGCGGCGGTGGCTGCGTCCTTGTCTGGCTCGGCCTGGCTCGGCAGTGGCGGCGGACAGAGACAGAGGAAGAGAAGGACAGAGCCGGACCAGCATGTGCCTTGTGGTATACGCGGTGTGCGTGGCCCAAGGCGTGGCCCCACCTCACCCCCTTTCCCCACCCGCCGGCTTCATTCCGTTCCGTGCTGTCTCTCTCGCACCCCCGCGGGTCGGCCCCTGGGTGCGAGAGAGACGAGCACGCCGTTCGGACTCAGCCGGCGGCCGCGTGCCGGTGCCCGCAAGCGGCAGGCCGCGGCAGGCCGGTGGTGTGGCTCCAGGCTCCAGCCCTCGCTCCAGCCCCTCCAAGCCGCAAGTCCCTCATTTCCAGCAGCGTCTGCAGCCTCTCCAGCGGCGCCTCTGACCGCCTGGAACGCCCGGCCGCCGCGCTGGAGTGACACCGAGACTCTCCGGTCAGAAAACTTTTTGTTTATGCCAATCCTTTCGTGAAGCTGTTTGAAAGCAGTAGTAAGCACCTTCTGTGTTTCTCGAATCGGCCCGTCCAGTCCATCGGTCTGTTCAAAAATGAAAGTTCTTTGCCTCTCCCTCAGGCCGGTGTCACGCCATCGCATCATGAATGTACCCCATCGCGCGATACTTGTACTGGAGCAGTCTTATGCGTAGGGGATACAACTATGGCGCGATGGTTGTACCCTTTGGGGTACATCCATCGTGGGGGTACATCCATCGCCCCACAGCGGCTCTGCCCCCACTGGTGGGAGGGCTAACGAGGTGTCCTCGCTGATGAACACGTCCACGGCAGTAAACACTCCGCGGGGCACTGAGTACCCCGCCTAGTACTTCGGCTCCGCCAGCACTTCACTTTTTCCACACGAGGCAGCTACTTCGGGCCATCCAGGGAGGCGGCAGTGCGAGAGAGACGGCCTCGATCCTCGTTGCTCTCGCTGCACCGGGCGCCAGGGAGACAAGTAAGGAGAAAGAGAGAGGGAGAGAGAGGTGGGGGCGCGGGCGGCGTCCCCAAGCCCTGCGGCGCGGCACGGCGTGGCTTGGCGCCAGACTGTGGTTTGTTGTCCCATCCCATCCGCCGTGCTGCCCCGTACAGCCTGTGTCAAAAGGCAGCGCTCACGCCAAACTTGTTTCTCCAAAATCATCATCATTCTAACGCACTGGGTGGAGTGTTGGGTTGATCAGGGGAAGGAAAAGACTGACATTTCGAAGAACCGTTTATCGGTGCATTTCACTCAACATACACTGCAAAGTCTTCGTTGCTACACTCATCCCTGAAATAAATTAAACTCGTCTCAGAAAATAAAAACAATAACGGTGTGCTTGGCACACTACGCAGCTACAAGCTAACGGTTTAATATTTTTTTTACAATATGAAACAACGGTTTGTACAAAGCCATCGAGAAGTCCCGCGGGTTTCAACATATTTACAATAACTAAACAAAAAGACAAACAATATTTTAAATATTTCAACATTTTTCTAAAAATACTTCATTGCACAATCCGGCCTATTTATCAACTTTTTTAAAGCTTCACCGGTATCATTACTGTCAGGAAACAAACAACAACATGAGCTGGAGGTCATCTTGCCACAATGAACCCCCCGATTTACACTAAGCGTCCGAGACTTTAAAAACGTGCCACAAATCGAAATCACACAAAAACACATGTGCAGCTAGAACAAAGGGGCTTTGAGCTTCAATTTGGAGGAGTACGCTTACACTAGAATGATTTCGGAAGGGTTCTTGGCGTGATGCGCGCGCCCCGAATCTACTGTATCACAGTCGTGCTTTATAAGCAATCTTTCAGAAGGTACTATAACACATTTTCACAAACATTGAGACGACCAGGGTTCGGCAGCCTCGCGCGCCGCAGTGCCGACGGTCTTGTTTTTGGAAGCAGCCTTCTGGGAACACCGTCCGCGCTGCCAGTGCAGGCGCATCGGCACTGCCGCGCAGAGCTCGCCGACCTTGGACTCGCAATTTGGCAACGGTCGCAATCACTTTCATGATCACTCGCGTGAATCACAGGCAATACTGACAATATGTCATACACGGACGACGCCCGGCACATCGACTACGTGGCGCCGAGCTGGCGGCGCGGCCACTGACGAGAGGACGCCCTTCAGACGCTGCCACCGGAATCTCGTGAGTCTGCAGCAACAGAGAACAGTCCGAAATTAAGGTCCGGTAGCCACGGCGACGCTGTTCGCGGCAGGTGCCGGGCAAGGTGCCGGGCAAGGCGCCGGGCAAGGCGCCGAGGCAGTACCTGTGGCGGGCGATCTGTGCGGCGCGCTGTCCTCGGCGCGGGGCGGCGCGGCCAGGATGACGCCCGTCGCCACGGTCCTGGACAGCGGCGGCGGGTGCAGCGGGAACAGCCTCCGCTCGGCCTGCTCGGCCCACATCAGGTCCTGCTGGTCCTGGGGGTCCTGCTGGTCCGGCGGGGGGCGGGGCAGCGCGCCGGCCGGCACCACGTTCGGGACGTACTGCTCGGGCGTGAGGTCGAACGAGAAGGCCGAGTAGGTGCCGGCGTGGTGCGCCGAGGCCACGTAGCAGCCCGGCGTGCCCGTGGGCGTGGGCGGCGTGGCCGTCACGTACGGGCTGAGCTCCTGGTGGGACAGGTCGGGGACGCGCTGCACCGTCGTGTCGGACCAGGGCGGCGACGGGTTCCACTGCTCCATCAGCTCGGCCGGGTCCGCCACGGCGGCCGTCTTGACGTGCAGCAGCCCCCGGTGGCGCGCGGCCCCGCCGCCGCCGTGCCTCGACGCCACGCCCGGGCCGCCGCCGACGCCCGCCTCGTCCGCCCCCACCGCCAGGTCACCCGGCGGCGGCGACGTCGACGACCTCGGCGACGTGGACTCGGGCGGGCTCCGGGAGTCGAGCTGGTGGTGGTGGTGGTGGTGGTGCGCGTGGTGGTCGTCCAGCGCCGAGGACGCCTTCCGCTTGTGGCCGTTGTGGTGCACGGCGTGGTGGCTGTGGTGGTGGTGATGGTGGCCGTGCAGCTGGAGGTCCTCGTGGTGAAGGTGCAGGTAGCCCGGGAGCTGTCATGGCAACAAAACACAAAACTTGAAAAATCCACAAAAAAAATCCATCGACATGCGAGGTACGCACGTTCGAGGTCTACTCACCGTGGGCCCCGTGTGCCGGGAGTAGTCGACGGGTTCCTGACTGTGCCTGCCGCCGTAGTGGAACCGCGTCGCCATCTCCTCCGCCGAGGCCGCTATCCCCGTCGGCGTGCCCGCCGCCAGCGCCGTCGGGTACTCCGGACTCCTGGACGACGGCGTGGTGGCGGGCGTGACGACGGACACGTGCGGCACCGGGGTGTGCAGCGCGGTGCCCGCCACCGGGTTGTGCGGGATGGGGACGTGCACCTGGTGCTGCACTTGCTGCTGCTCCAGGTGGTGGAGGCCGTTGCCGTTGACGTGGTGGTGCTGGGGGTGGATGTGGTGGGGGTGGTGGGGGTGGGGGTGGTAGGCGATGACGCTCCCCGGGGACGGCGCGGGGTGCGGCTGCATGTAGCCAGGGTGGTGCTGGAAGGGCGTGGCGGGGTCCATGCCGTAGGGCGACATGTAGGGCGTGGGCGTGGACGGCGCGGGCGGCTGCGACGCGCGCTGCGCCGCCTGCGCCTCCATGGCTAGCCCGTACTGCAGCTTGCTCTGCATGGTGTAGTGCTGGTACAGCCAGTTGTTGGCCTGCATCACGGTCGCCTCCTGGTCGCTGCAAAGGAAGGCGTGAACATCAACAACATTGCAACGCCTTCGTTTCCTGCGTATAGCCATAGACGAAATCCAACAAATGCTTGCCTCTTTCCCGTCCTGACCCTTACCTGAGGACTTGGTTGGTGCACACGATGACGGGGGTCTGGCTGTTGTCCATGTTGTCCTTGACCTGCAGCACGCAGTGCACCCACAGCCAGTCGCCCTGGCGCCGCTGCAGTCGGAGCAGCAGGATGCAGGAGCGCTCCTGCTCGGACTGGGTGACTGCGGACACAAGCACACACACACGGTCAGACACAATGCCACACACTTTGCACCGCTTTGCACCGCTTTGCTCGCACACACAGACACACACACGCACACACACACTGGCGCGTGGCACGGGGCGATCAGGGAAGCATTATTTGGCGTCACTGCCTGAGACCACCGCCGCGGTGCACTCCGGTACTCCGGACCAGGCTGCTTCCGAGCGAACGGTGCTCTCGTCGCTCCGTCTCTCTCGCACCCCTTGGCACTTTGGACCGCCGCCCCATGAGCGCGAGAGAGACAGCGCGAACGAGGGCGCCCTTGCGGCGTAGAGCCGTATCGCTCGGTGGCACGGCATCGTCGTGGGGAAGCAAGCCGACGAAGAAGGACTTCCCCGCGACGAACCGGCCCCCCTGTCGCCTCAACACAACTTTTTCGCGCCAATTTTCATCGAGTTTCCCAGTGTGCGAACCGGGGCTTTCTTTCGGCGAAACAGAGCGTCTCTGTGCTAGGACAGGGTGGGGGAGTTTAGTCGGGGGAAGTGCGAGCGCAGCTTGTTAGTTCTCACACGGCGTCACGCGCAGAGCAACAATGCAATGACTTCATTGTCCGCCTCTAACTGATGTTCTGACGGCCGATGCGTGGTCGAGTACACGTGTGTGTGTGTGTGTGTGCGCGTGTGTGTCTGTGTGTGTGTCTGTGTGTGCGCGCACTGCCGTGCTGGTGTGCGGGCCATTGTTGGCGCTCTGTGCAGGCGATATCGCACGACAGCCATAAGTCACCATCGATCGGAATATCTTGTTAATGAACGGCCAAGAAAACGCGCAAACACGCGCACGCGCTCACACACACACAGACACGCGAACACAGACACACACACACTCACACACACACAACACACACACAGACACGCGAACACACGCACGGGATTACCAGTGTCGCCTTAGTCGCGGGATCGCTACCAATGATGGAGGGAGTAGGGCTTATCTCGCCTGCCGTATGCGTCTGCACACACACACACATGCACACAGACACACACACACACACTCACACGCACGCACGGGCTTGCGCTCGGCGGCGGCAAAACTGTTTACACAACCAGACACTGCCGCGTCGTCGAATCCAACCTTTCTCATCCGGAAACGAACCTTCCCGTTCGGGCTAATTAGGATACAACACACACTCACACACACACACGCCCACACCAACACACGCGTCCGTAACGGGCCGATGCATGCGTGCGCGAGGGACACGGGTGACGGTGACGACGACACTGGAAACACTGTCCGAGGGCGACAATTACCTTAACCCCTCGCTGCCCTGGCGGCCTGCCCAGCCCTGCCCAGCCCAGCCCTGCCGAGCGGGCTGGTTGGCCGTTCTGTGCCTTTGCAGGCGTGCGTGCCAAGGGACTGGCTCGGCTCGGCTCGGCCCAGCCCGTACGGTTACGTTTCGGTTCTGCGTGTAAGGTCGCCCTCATGTGCGTGAAACACGCGTGTATTCCTCGCCGGAGCCGTTCGTCGCTCTGTCTCTCTCACACTGCGAGAGACAGAGCGACAAAACGACACTCTCCTGCCCTTTACAAGGCCAAAGCAGTGGAACCACCCGGTTGAAAATTGGAGACTTGAACGCACGGGCTCGGGCTAGTGAACTCAAAGGCTTCACGATCCGGGTTTGATTTCCATAAGCAGCATCCCATGGGCTCTCATGCCATGAAATCAAAACCATGCGTCAAGCGACAACTTTCATGAGTAACTGACTCAAGAGACACAACCCCTTGGCCGATTGGACCCGGAGTCAGCAGGCTTCTGGAATTTGGCTACTGCCACGATATTGTTTGAATTTTGGCCCGGGGTTGCCTACACTGCGGGGAAGGCCCGCTGGCTTATTTTTTTTTTTGCGAGTGTAGGTCCAGGCCCTCGGCGGGGCGTCCCAGGCCCCGTCCCAGGCCCCGTCCCAGGGCAGGGCTTCGCCGCGCACCGCCGGGCACCGGCCCAGGGATTGGCTAGGAATAGGGATCGGGGTAATGACGGTCATTTCCAGCCCGTGTTTGTTCTTTAAGTTGGTGCTGCCAGTGCTAGCTGTGCGGTGCGGCCAGTGTGCTGCCCCGCCGCGCCACGCCACGCCGCGCCACGGCGCCTTACCGGTTCCAAAGCAGCTACACTGCTCGAATCGCCTCCGGTCGATTTCGCAATGTGAGGCGCTGGGGAACGGCCGACCCTCTAAGCGCCGCGGGGCCGCGGGGACTAAGCGGCCTTCGCGCGTCCTTCCAGGACCTGGGCGAACCCGGGCCGAACCTCGCGACGAACCCTGCGCGGTGGCGTACCCTTTCTCCTACACTCATTCCTCTCTAGACGGTCATGCTCGTGTCAAGGCATCGACCAGGAACTAACACAGGGACCTCTCTAGGGGGTCCTTTAATCCTTCAGATCGCTTTAGTGGGTCCTTTGAGAGGAAAGGATCCCTTTGCGATCCGTTTAGGGCCCGCTGGCCGGTTGGCGCGCATTCCCTGCAATTTGGCCGCGCAGTGTAATAGCACGCCTGTCTCGGCTGCCTTTGCCTGCCTTTGCCTGCCTTTGGCCATCGAGCTTGATCTCGCTAGTTTGCTCCGCGGGGGCGGGACCGGGGGGGGGGGGGGGGAAGCAAGGGGGCTGGACTGGACTCGCCTGGAAATTTACCGATCGACATGAGGGCGCGTTGCTTCGCGTTGCTTCGCGTTGCTTCGCGTTGACATGGAAAGGCCACCGCGCCGCAGACCCATTCAGAGTGGGAGGTCCCTCTCTCTGTCGCACTCACGGGGCGTGTCGTCTGGGTGCGAGGCGGTGCGAGGGAGACACACTGTCGTACTCACTTAGTCGGTGCTTGCTCTGCGCTTCCCGCATGCAGTCCCAGTGCAGCAGGTGGTACCAGGAGACGGACTGGAGCTCGGACCGGCAAAACCCCAGATGGAACTCGCCGCTGCAGAGAGAGAGAGACAGACGTCAAAACAACGAGCCGATTTCCAGTGCAGTGCTAATGCCTCGCATGCTCTCCGCTTATTACGCGTGTTGGCTTTCCGTTATGCGGTGTAGTAACGCGAATCCCCCTCCCCCTCCGCCTCCGCGCGGCGCGGTGGGAGTACAGTGTGCCAGTGGCCCTTATCGGCGGTAACCTCCAGGGTTAATTGGGAGGACTAAGCCCCCCGATGGCACCGATACCTGACGATTTGACCGGCCCGACCAGCACTTTGCGCCGCTTTGCGCAGGCAGCGGGCCGAGGCGGGCAGGCGGCCGGGCAGGCAGCCGGGCAGGCAGCCACGGCGTGGCATTTTGCCCCAATGCAGCAGGTATTCGCTGATTACCGCAGTGACTTTGTGCTACCGCAGCGCGCTGCTGCCACCGCCGCCAAGGGCCTAGCTACACCACTTATCCCATACGGCACAAAAATTTTAAAAAAAAGTTTTAAGGTTTACATAGATTTTAAAGTTTTTAATTTTCTACAGTTCTAAAGTTTTTAATGTTATAACGTTATAAAGTTTTTAAGTTCTTTAGATTTTTTAAGTTCTTTAGATTTTAAAGTTTCTAACTCTGAGTTTCGCTAAAAAAATAATAAAGTTTTTAGAGCACTGAGCTGGGCGTCGCGCTTTGGCCGCAGTACGCCACGGCTGGGCCTCGCTGGCCTGGGTGCCTTCTTTGTTTAATTCCGTCGCCGGCGACATTGACAAATGTGAAGCAATTTACGGATTGAAAGCCAACTACTGCTAACCAGCAACAATCCCTTCTGCAGCTCTCCCAATTGCTTTATGAATTCTTTTTTTTCCTTCTCTCGCCGGTCTTCCCTCCGCTAGGCCGCGGCCCGATTTTGGTTAATCGAATTCCGACGCGGGGAAAAAGAAACACTGGACGGCGATGAATCATACCGCGTTTGGAGCAGCTGACGTGAGAGAGCGGAAGTGACAAGTGCACGACGGGCAGCAGTGCACACACACACACGCACACACACACACACACACCGTGACAAATTAAGAAAACACTCGCTAGCCTGGCCCCGGCTGTCAACATCGTCAATAATTGAATCATTTTTTAAACATTTTCAGCAAGTCGGGTAGTAGTTTAGAATATTTCTCCCCACGGGAGAGATTTTCCTACCCGAGACTTTTTAGAACGTAGCAACCTAAGGAGTCAATTTTCGATTTTTTTTTTAAATTGGTGTGATGACCTCGGTGATGACTCACTTTTTGTCGATGTGCAGGAAGGACATGTCCATGGCGTGGATGGTGGTGAAGACGTTGGTGGCGCCCTGCACCACGCACTCGCGCGTCTCGGGCATGGCGACGGGCGTGCACGTGGCCAGGAACACGGGCTCGTTGCGCGAGCAGAGCGGCACGAAGGACAGGTAGTGGCCTTGCACCAGCACCACCTGGGGGAGGAGAAGAAAGGCCAAATGTCGTTCAAATGTTGTTGAAAGTTAGTTTTTGTTGCTTGTAGCTCGGCTTCAATTTAACTTGCATCTGCTGAACGTCTTCGGAGGGCCGTTTGCTTCGGCGAAACAAAAAAAACAAGAGCTTAACAAAAACAGGGCTGGCTTTGCGAAAGCGCGTTCTGTTTCCAGAGTGTGTTGCGGCGCAAGGATTTCCACAAACTTATGACTCGCGTGGAACAACTGTAAACCCTGCACCGATGCGTTTAGCCCGCATGATAAACAAAACTACTATTGTCCGCCGACAGCAGCGCAATCAGTTTGTTTATGTTGCGTCGCGACGCCGGGGGGACGCCAAGAGGGAGGGGGAAAGGGGGGGGCGCTTGGGGACGCCGGCCGGGCGACGCCGCACGACACTCCGATGGCGCCCCGAGCCCCGCCGAGAGGTTCCGAAGTTTCGCTCTGTCTCTCTCGCACTCGAACGGGACGCCCCGCGAGTGTGAGAGAGACAGAGTGACTCCTCGGAACGGCTGGCCGTGTGCCATTGTGTGGCCCTACATGGCCGGGGGGCCGCGGGGGCACGGGGGCCGCAGCCCGCCAGGCCACCGCCACCAAACTCACGAAATTGGAGTTTGTATGCGCTATGCGCGCCGGGGCAGCTCAGCGGACGGACAATGTCCGGCGGGGTCGTGTGTCCGGGGAGCTGCATTGCACGGGATGCTGCTTGGCGTAGTCGGTAGCGAGCTGGACTGCGGAGAAAAAGTAGCGGGTTCGATTCCCCACCGCGCCGCAATTTTTTTTCTTTACTGTGGTCAAGTTTTGACGAAATGTTCGATAAAGCCTCCAGCAGAAACCAGAAATGTTCAAAATAGAAAATGAATGAGTAACGTTGTTGCTCACAAGATAACGCAGTGGAACCTGAAATTCCTCAAAGTCTAACGGGCCATGACTTCCCTTTGTCCCGAGCAAATAATAAAACCAGCCAGCGGGCCGCCAAGTCGCCGCCAAGGCTGCGGCCTATCGCGAAACGCCGAGGAGCGAGGGGACACGCAGCACCGCGCAGCGCGTCGAGGGCGGCGCGGCGCGGCACGGCCGGGGAATATAATATTTCTGGAGGGGCGGTCGCGAAATATTGCAGGTGACACGCGTGCTGCCCATATCGGGGCCGTATCGCCACGCCTTTGGGTGCCTTCGGGTGCCTACGGGTGCCTTCGCGTGCCTTCCCACAGTGGGCTAGAGCAGGTGGTCAAAACTCTGGACGCGTTTTAAGCTCCAGAGTCGCTGAATGGGACTCGAACCGAACGTGTGACCCCACCAATGGATTCCTCGTTCGGAGAGCAATCCATTGGTGGGGTCACACGTTCGGTTCGAGTCCATGCTTCGGGTGCCTGCGGCGGCCACCCTCGGCTGTCTTCGTGGGTCCGCTCGCGTCGACTAAATCAAATGCATGCGCGTTGCTTGGCGTTGCTTGGCGTTGCATCGCGGTGCGAGCGGCCGGGTGATGCAATCGCCGCTTCGCCGTCGTCCCCGAGCGGGAAATTTGCTCTTGAAAACTGAAACCGCGACGCGGGCAACGAGGCGATCCATTGCGGCCTGCGGCTGCCTGCGGGCGAACGCGTCGGATCGGCCGATATTCGAGCAGTGCGTGGGGAAGGGCAAACCAGTCAACCTTTCTTGCGGCGCGGGCCGAATTTCGCAGTGAAGGCACCACAGCAGTGATTGCCCAGGTTAGTGTGATCCGGACTCGCGAAAGGAGGGCGGGGAAGCGAAGCCGGCGAACCTTCCAGCGGTTTGATTACGAGAGTCGTTCTCGTCGCTCTGTCTCTCTCGCACTCACGGGGCGTCCCAGATAGGCGCGAGAGAGACAGAGCGACGAGAACGACTCTCGGAATCAGTCTGCAGGCCGTTCCCAGAAGCGGTGACCCATTGAGCAGCGTGCTGTTTGCCACCCATAGTGTCCGAGGGGGGGGGGGGGTGAGTGAGTGACCAGCGGAGTGTCCGCGATGCCCTGGACAGCGGCGACAGCGCCCCGGACTGGCACGCTAGGGGACTTCTCCCGTAGCCATGCATAATGCATGAATTCATTGAGAGTGGTCAGTGGGCGATCCACACAGTGGCCCTGCCGGACGCCCCAGGCCGCCCCAGGCCGCCCCTGGCCCGGGACGCTGGCTCTCGGGGCGACTCTCGGCGACCAAATTCCACGCTTTGGGTGTCTGCATTTGCAGCTAGCGGGAAGGGTACTCCTGGCTGGGACTAACGTCCTGGTGACTAGATGGTGTACACTGCCATTCATTTTGAAATTTCTTACAAATAATTTCCAGGCAGCGAGTCGACGCGTTTAGACAACTTGCGTGAAATCCCCCTCCCCCTGAACCCACCCCTAGATCCCCAGAAGACCGAAAATTCAAGACGCGTTTGGAGCTCCAGAGTCGCTAAATGGGACTCGAACCGAACGTGTGACCCCACCAATGGACTCCTCGTTCGGAGAGCAATCCATTGGTGGGGTCACACGTTCGGTTCGAGTGCTGCTTAGCGACTCTGGGGCTCTGCACGCGTGTCGAGGCCTTCTGGCACACTGTGCTGGACCCACCTTCTGGTCGCCGAAGCGCATCTGCCGGCGGGCGTTCCTCGACACGTTCATGCGGCACAGGAAGAGCCTCTCGTCGTCCCCGGAGCGCAGCAGCTCCGTCTGCACGCCGGCGTGGTCCTGCCGGTCCAGCAGGTCGTAGGCGGAGTCGCCGTGGATCAGCAGGTCCTCCTGGAAGGGAAGCACGAACAGCGGATATGACAACCTCATCACGAACACTGGGGCTAAATTATTATTTTGTAAAAATTAAAAAAAAAACGAATCAAAAACAAAAGCGCTGATACAGTTAATTCAAAGAATCAGCATCGAGGTCAATGTCTCTCCCCACAACAGTGTACGCGCTCCATTTCCATGAGCAAACGGAACGGGGAAAGAGTTACTCGTCCCTTGGCATTAGAAATGGCAACGGATGGCACACACACACACACACACACACACACAAGAGCAGACGCCACTTTTAATTGCTGTGCTTCCGCACCGATAGAGGTCGCCTTCTGCAAAGTTAACCATCAATTATTTAATGGGGTTGACATCGCGTCGCAAAGCTAGCGCGGCTCGGTCGGTATTGGTCCCCGCATGAGCCCTCATGCCCTATGCTTTCCCTCTGCACGTCCGATCGGCCCGGCTCGGCTCGGCCCGGCTCGGCCCGGCTCGGCTCGTCACCGCCACGGTACAGAGGCGACACGGCGTCATAAAGAGCAGATCGTCTTGCTCGCCGTGGAGGCCCTTGTGCGGCCCGTGGCGGCACGATGGCCACGCCAAGGAGTGCTATATGCTCTTGTCAGATCTGCGCCGGCCGTCCGGCCGTCCACCACTCCACTGCCCTTGTTGAGTCTCTCTAGCGATGCCGCCGCGCTGGCAGGCCCGGCCCGGCCGCGCCCCGCTCACCTTTCCCACTCCACTGCCCCCGCCCCGCTTCATTTCGCGCTGTGTCTCTCTCGCACTCATGCGGCGTCCCGCATAGGTGCGAGAGAGACAGACTGCAGTGCTACCACCTGCGTGCGGCCGAACTACGCCGCGCCGCCGGCCGGGGCGGATAAGGAAGCGGGGCGTGAGAGACGCAGTCCCCAACCCCGCCACCGGCCCGCCTAGCGCCTGCGACGGCCAGGGTAGGCAACACTGCGACGCAGCCGTGCCGCGCTCCGCCGAGGGTTGCCTACCCGACGGGCGCCTGGCCGGCAGGGAGCGTGGGAGGAGCTGCCAGTGTGGGAGGCGACGGCCGCGCTAGGCGGAGGCGGCAACAAATCTAGAAACACAACACAGCGCGACGCGGCGTGTCGAACGGGACCGCTCCACTGCACTACCGCGGTGCCGCGGTGCGCCCGAGGGTGCGCCCCAGAGCGGCAGCGCGGAGCAGCGCAGCGCGCTAGATCAATCAGTGTGAAATTTCACGAGCGCACCCCCCACACACACACACACACAAACACACAGGCAGACAGACAAGCGCACTACACTCACACGCACACACGCGCGCAGTAAGTCGATACTTGCCCGGGGCGAGACGCACTCTCTCATACTGGAAGCACTCGAGGTATCGATTACCTAATGGGTCGATTAGGTGAGGCGGTCATTACCCGCGTAACTCGACGTCGGTTTGTCGCGCGGCGTGGCGGTGCACCAGGAGCCTCGCGTGTCATTTACGTGTCGCGAGGCTAATCGAATCACCCGGGAACGGCTCCCCGCCGGGGCGTCGGTTTTTCTTACTCGCGGAAGAAACATCCCGGTGTTTTCTCGGAGGAAAATGGGCGTCTGCTTCAGGAGGTGTTTGCGCTTTTCAACGCGTTTAGGGACTGTTTTTTTGTGGGAAGGTACGGCGGGTAAAATTTGAATAGTTAAAAAAGGGGGAAACCGCGTAGAAAAGTTGACGATACTAGAGTGTTCCTTGGCAGTGTGCAATAAGAACAATGCCGAGCACGGCGGCACGGCGGCACCGCTAGGGCACTGGGACAAGGGCTGCGGACGCGGACCCGCGCAGGGCCCCTTTGATTGAAGCCGACGACAAGGAGGACGGAAGAGTGATGGCGGCAATTTTGACGGCAGAGACAGCAAGCCAACGATCGCGGTCCCCCCCCCCCCCCCGCGAACCCTCGCCGAGCCCTACGACCGAACTAACACGGGAGCCGGGGAAAGGGAGGGGGGATCTCGATGCGGGGACCGCGACTACACCGCTGCGAGAGGAACGCCTTTTCTCGCAGGGTCCGTTCGGAAACGGCACCCTTTCGCGACCAAGTTCGCGCAGTTTCTCATACCCGTGTTCGTTTCTGCCACCAAGCCGACACGGAAGGCGGTGGCGTGACCCGCGACATGTTTACCTCGTGTAAAGGGACGACAGGAATCGATAATTTATGGTAGCGAAACTAAAAAGAAAAATACACGATGGTTTTTTTTTAAACTTTTTTTCTGTTAACGGTTGGGAAGATGTGTGTGCGGAATGCACGCCATGCAAGGCGCCGACGCGATGACTACCGCCGTGCCGCGGTGGCGGGGTGGGGCGGGGCGGGGCGGGGCGGGGCGCGAGGGCGCCGCCTTGTTATTAATACCAAACTAAACACCTCCGCCATGCCGCCGCGCTGCGCGCAGCACGCAGAGTCACACGGGATCCGCACTGGTAGGGGGCGTCTGCGAATAACGCCGCGATGCTCTGCGAAATCCCTGCGAATAGCGCGTCACCACAACAAAGTTGCACGCCAAGGCGGCCAAGGCGCGAGGCCGTGCCGGCCGGGCCGGCCGGGGTCGGGGCGCCCCAAGCCTGTAAATCAAGGCTAAAGGGCGTACACTGTGAATCACACTGCGATGCTCCCCGGGCACTGACTTCGGCACCGCGGGCCCTCAAAACAAATACTTTATCGCTCCACTATTTGGAGGCATTTGGCACTAAATAACGTCATCACTGTCGGCCCGGCCGGACCCTGCCCGGCACTCGGCCGGTCGCCTGCTTGTCTCTCTCGCACTCGTGGAGCGTCCCGCGGTGTGCCAGAGAGACAGAGACGAAACGATACTTCAAACGGCGGTGGCCATCCGTATTGGAACTGTTTGGGAACAGGCGCGCTTGCGTCAGACGACCGCAGCCAGCGCCCCGGGCTGTGCAGGCCGGCGCGGCGGGGGCGGGGCTCACGGACACTCGGACACACAGACGGACAGGCAGACAGACAGACAGACGGACGGACAGACAGACAGACAGACAGACAGACAGACAGACAGAGATGAGAGGGCAGGCGAGACATGTATGAGAATCCCGATAAATCATCGAGACAAGTGTTTACCGTGTGGATTCGTTTTTCATAGTTGTTCGAAATCGATCAGAAATTGATAAAAGGTCAGCCTGATTCTTGTTCAGAGTTAATATTATTGCCGTTGCGAACGTCAGATCGGAAACTTTTTTTTAGAGAAATTCGACAAGCCTCTGCACGAGCTAATTTCAGTCAAACTGTAAACTAACGCCAGGCGCTTCGCAACACCAGCACACCGATAAGGGCAGTAACTCTCCTGAAAACGACTTCCCGACTGTTGCACATGTTTTTCCTCGGATGAGAACTTTCACACGTCCTAAATAAAGCGCGCCTAAGTCCGGAACAGGTTCTGGAAACGCATCCTCGGACAGCTGCGCTCGGGATGGCCGGCCAATGGCAAGCCCGTGGCGATACTCGATCGATAGTCGATAGGCAGCCGTCGAGAGTATCGAGTAATTATTGTTATTACTATTGTTGGCGAGCAATGCTGGCGAGGAGTACCTCAGCGCGTTGCTGCACTGTCAGGGAAGGGGGTCTCCAAAGGGAGAGAGAGAGAGAGAGAGAGAGAGAGAGGCGGCGGCGCTCCCCGACCGAGGGGCTCGCGTGGATCGCAAGGTTTAGGTCCGGCGTGCGAAGGGGCACCCAGCTTCCCACACGGAGCAGTCCACCTCATGGCGTCAAACAATTTGTCCTCTTTCTTGCAACAACGAGCCGTGGGCGGCGGGCGCATTACGGGTGTAAAAACCAAAACGGAGAGCCGCTGTCAGAACGGGACGAAATAAGAAAATAAAATAAGAGCGACAGAGAGAGAGGGGGGGGGGAAGAAGAAAAAATGATGGAAATGGTTTGTGATGGCGGAGTGGCGGGGGCTGTGGCCGTTTTGCTTCGGGTTACGGGCGCAGCGGGGGTCAACTATATCCCATCCCGACCGACCGACCCATCCCGCGACGTTGAGGCGAGGAGACCGAGATCGTCCATTAAACGCCGCGAAGAGGATGGCCCCGTTTTCTTCCACTTTTTTTCCTTTTTTTTCTAAATCCCCCGCGCGTCTTTCTCCTCCCCTTTCCCCCTCCTCTCTTTTAATGTTGATACTTTTACGCATTTAAGTCAACTCCATTAGGAGGCCTTCCGTCGGCTGATCCCACGGCGAGACTCCGAACACAGCGGGGCGCTGCTGGGAGGCGAAGCGACTTTTGGGCATTTCTTCATTTGTTAAAAAAATGTTTTTATATCGTTTTACGTGAAGCCCTCCCGCTGAAACTTTTCCGAGCACTTGGTGACGAAAATTTAGTCACACGTGAATGAAATTTTCATGAAAGCTCCAACACTTATTGCAGAGCGTGACACAGTAGTCAGCAGAGGGTTTGACGCCTCTCTTGTGAGGAAAATCGGCCTTGAAATGGTCATTGAGTGACAGCCGAGATTTTGACAGTGCCGTCGACAGCTCAACACTTCGCGCGCACCCTTCCCTCAGAGCGGCCAGCAGGGACCGGCCCCGAGTGCGTTATTATTTCGGGGGCAAATAGATGATTGGCTGTCCGTCACGGGGCAGTCCGCTCGCCGGGGGAAAAGGGAGGGGGGCCTGCACCTTCACTTGGACGCGCCGCGGCAATATGAAAAGTCAGCTGCGGACTGATTCCGAGAGTCTTTCTCGTCGCTCTGTCTCTCTCGCACCTGCAGGGGACGCCCCGTGAGTGCGAGAGAGACAGAGCGACGAAGAGCGACTCTGGCGGGGAAATCAGCCCGGCGAATGCAAAGGGGATAACGAGGTGTCAGTCAGCTACAGTCAAACACCGCGCGCCGCCCGCGCCGCCAGTGCGGTACAGTCCGCTCAGTCAGTCAGCGGTACAGTCCGCTCAGTCAGTCAGCGGTACAGTCCGCGCGCAGAGTGCGCTGTTTTCAAGGAAAGGGAGGGGGGGGGGCACCACCAGCCGAAGACCCCTCCTAATGGATCAAAAAGCGCTCCGGACTAAAGGCAGTGAGTCCAATCCTCGCTGAGGCCGATGCCCCCCTCTCCGGGAGTGTGCTGTTGATTAACGACTCGAGCTGACGACTGGCATTTTTTGTGCGATATCCCAGCGAGGCCTGCAACGCCCCTGGCTTGTTTACGGAGCGAGGAGGGGTAAACAACACGCATCGGTAGTGGAGTAGTGACACCGTGACACCGGGAACGAGTTCTTGATTTGATACGGAGCCGGTTGCTCAAACTCCAGACTTCCCAGACTCCCTGACGCGCGCGTCACTTCGACCAGGCGCGCATCGCACCGCAGTGAGGCTGTGAGGCTCTCGGTGCTGCGGACTGATTCCGAGAACGGTCGCTCTGTCTCTCTCGCACTCAGGCGCGAGAGAGACAGAGCGACGGAAACGACTTTCGGGATCAGTCTGCCTGCAGTCGGTGAGGGTGCGTCGGAGACCTCAACGCGTGGCTGGCACCAGAGACATTGCAAGGAGTGCTCCAGTGAGCTGTCAGCGAGGCTTACGTGGATTCCATTCCAGCCGCCTCCAGCCGTCCAGCCGCCGGCTGATGGATCAAAACATGTCACACAAAGTGCTGGAGCCCCTGGAGTCCCTGGAGCCCCTGGAGTGTGCCGGAGTGACTTCGGCGCCCCGGTACATCGCGCGCGTCAACTCGTTCTCCCCCCCCCCCCCCAGTCCTTTATCGGAGCATGTTTTTCGCCGGATGACATGCACTCCACGGATTAAGGCGCCCCTTCCCCGCCAGGGGGGTTCCTCCGGGGTCTCCTTTTCCCGGGAAAAAACCCCCCTAAAAAAGACGGCCCCGCGATGCTCAGAGATACTTGAAAAAATCCTTCTTCCCGGAAGGTCAGGTGGCGGCCGTCCCGGCTCGCGCGACCCTGGCAGGGGAGGGGGGGGGGAGTGTTTCCACTACTTCTCTGGAGGGAAAATCGTAAAACGAGCAGCGGGCGAGGCGACTAAAGCAACGGGCGGTCACTAACGCCGCCGCTAAAGTGACACTCAACAGCTCGACGACGAGCTTTACGGTGTGGGGACGACTTCATTTCGCCGCACCTGTGCCCACCAGTGTGCCATCGCCATCACACGCACCGACAAGCAGTGCAGGCGCGCCTAGGTCACAGCGATAAGGAGACAGTGCGCGTATGGGTGCGGGCCGGACGGGGGGGGGGGGGCAGAGAGAGAAGCGGAAAGGAGGAAGAGAAGGAGGCGGAGACGAAAGCGGACAGCGAAGAACGGTGAGAGCAAAGGAAGCATAGTAGACAGAATAGGCAAGGATGCAAGAAAGGCTGCAGTTTCCTGCACTTTGGCGCTGCCTGGCCGCGGCGGCGAGCGCCTGTCATGCTCGGCATAGGCAACTCCGCGGAACACCAGTGCATCGCGGCCGTGGGGCCGGCCTACCCTCGCGGCGCTAGGCGCTCCGCCAGAGCGAGGCAGAAAGAGAGAGAAGAAGAAGGGAAAAAAATGCTTTCCGATGCAGAAGGCCCGGTGCCCCGAGGTGCGCTACGGTAGGGAAGCGGAGGGATCAGATTTCGACAGGAGTCGTCGTCCGGGATCACGGCCCGTCTGCCTGTCCGTCCGTCCGTCCGCCCCGCGGACCATGACAGACGGACGGACGGACTCTGTCAGCTTAACGGCGCCAGCGAGCACCGCGTCCAGGGGATCCAGGAGTCAGAAGTGACCCAAACACGACAAGCCACCAGGGGCAGTGGCCCTACAGTGGCCCTGCGCGGGCCGCGGCCGGACCGGCCCCAGATACATCACGCTGGCAGCCCGGCAGCCACACTGCTACTTGCTGGAGAAATGACACTTTTCTGGAGACGGGTGACCGACCGGACTCCCATCATCGCCTTTCGGAATAATTTTAATTTTCTTTCAATTGTTTTGCTGTTGTGTTTGTTTAAAGTACTCACCATAGAGTGGCCCAGGTACTCGGCCGCGTTGTCCGAAATGTAGAGGAGTTTGCCGTTTTGCGTCATCATCATGAGGAATCCGCTGAGTGCCTGCGTCGAGAAAAAAAAAGGGTCATTTTTATGAAAATGATAGTGCACACACACACACACACACATTCGCACGCCGGGCGCTACTCGTCCATCGCGGCAAAATAAACAGCAGTTCCCCCTAAAGCATCCGCGTTAATACGGAGAGCGAGACATTCCTCGCGCGCCGCGGACGCCGAACGCGTGTAACTCTCCGCCGTACATGCGCTCCGTCTCTCTCGCACCCACGGCCCGCCCCGTAGCGGTGCGAGAGAGACGGAGCGAGGAGGCGTGCCCCCTTTTCGGAACCGCCCGGCCGCCCCTTTTATCCCAGCCACACAACAGCGAACCACAGCGAACACGGGGCCGAATCGGATTCGGGAGAAAGAGGCGCTGCGGAGCGCCGCGGAGAGTGCACATGTTCTCTTTCTGTCTGCTGCGTCGCCACCGCGCGAGCGGGAGAGAGAGAGAGAGAGAGAGAGAGAGAGAGAGAGAGAGAGAGAGAGAGAGAGGCAGAGAGATAGAGAGAGAGAGAGAGAGAGAGAGACAGAGAGAGAGAGAGAGAGAGAGAGAGAGAGGGGGGGGGGAGAGGGGGGCTAATGGCCCTCGGCCAGACAGAGACATTTGCAAGTGCCAAATACACTGATAAGGGCGCGCGTCCGAGATAGGGGCAAGAGAGGAGGGAAGGGGGGGGGGGCAGCATGACACGGCCACCGCGCTGGCGGTAGTAAGGGGAAGCGGGGAGGGGGGCAGCCGGGCGCGTGCATCGTAAAGTAAGCGCGGGACGCTCCCGTTGCAGAGATGTTTGTTCCCCCAGAAAGCGTCCCCCTACCTCCCGCTTCGCGGGTGCAAGCGTGTGTGATTGTTTTGTTTGTGTGCGTGTGTGTGTCTTTTCTGTGTGTATGTCTTTTTGTGTGTATCTGTGTGTGCGACTTTATAATACGAATCAATTTTTACAGTGTGTTACTTCCCTAGGTCTGGACTAGTGGACTGATCCACTCCACACACCCACACAAGGGAAGGGGTTGGAACATGGCGGCTGCTTCCTGGGACGCTCTACGGCATGGCAGGCGGGGACCAGGGTGTCGCTTGGGCGGGCCGAGACGGCCGAATCCGCCGCGAGCGCCGAGTGTTTGTGTGTTTTTGCCGCTGGCGCCGTTGGCGTCGTTGACGTAACGGCGCTCCTCATTTTGAAAGGCGCGCCCAGAAAAAATAACGAAGCCGAGAGAAAATGTCGACTATGCATTTTGAGAGCCGCCGAGGAGGACGCGCGGAGAGGCGCGCAGGAAGGACGACCGGGGGAAAAGGGGGGGGGGGGATTTACCGGTACGTCACGACCGGAGGCGAGGCGGCCGGAGCCTGCAGGGACAAAGTACCAAATCGAGAGAAAATAAAATAATTTATCCGGCAAGAAAAAGGCCGAGCGTCTAAATGCTTTCGGGACGCGGAAGCCGTCCATGTCTCGTCGGCACACTGGAGAGTAGAGTGTGACTTAACGCCGGCAATGCCGCGTCGAATAAGGCGCGAGCAAACTAAGCTGAGGTAAGCGGGCCTTCGTTTTTAGGCCGCCCGACTATGAGAAATTCGGCGGAGCAGAGCGAGTGTTTCGTTCCTCGCCGGTTCGAAGGCGGCCCACGGGACTGACACTTCTGGCTGCTCGATTTTAGCGGTTGAGCGCGATCAAACTATTTACGTCGGTCACTATTTTAATTTTTTGAAAAAAAAATCGGAAATTAACAAAAACAAGAGAAACTTGCGTAATATTATGCTGGGATGAAAATTTTCCGGAGGCCGGAAAACATCGAATCTGCTGCGGGACGGTGTCGTTGTTGGAACGGTCGGCGACAAAGTCTGGCCGTTTTGGGGACCGCAGCCGGGACATGCGGGCGAGGGGAGGAGGGGTGGGGAGGGGGCGGGGAAGGGGGGCGGGAAGGGGGCGGGGGCGGAGGCGCCGCCCCCCGTAATCACAGGACTATTCTCCGGGAATGTTAATGGTCTGCGCTCCGGGCCGAGTAGAGGCTGCCGGCTAAATCCCGGTAATGCACATCTTACGGGGAGTGCCTTCGGCCTGCCTTCGGGTCGCTTTCGGGTCGCTTTCGGCCTGCCTTCGGGTCGCCTTCGGGTTGCCTTCGGGTCGGCCCAGCACTCGGCGGCCGCGATATGTACACCGCCTGTCGCCTGCTCCAAAAAAACAACCCCACGCAATTAAAAGATGGGAAAGTTTCGCGGCGCCGTGGTGAGTTTGAATGCCGCGTTCATTAGGGTCCTACAGGCGGTCTCTCTCGCACTCGCACTCACGGCGCGTCCCGCAGAGGTGCGAGAGAGACAGACGGCAGGTCGGCTCGGCAGTGTAGTGCCAAGCAGTGCGGGAGCGCGGACGCGGGAGGCCCGCCGGACAAAAGCGGCGAAAATGCGCTCCTGACAGCCGAGGCTCGAAGGGCACTCGTACGGCGTGCATGTTCCATCACTGTCGCCCGGGTAATCCAGCCCGGGGAATGCGTGAGAGAGGGAGGGAGGGAGAGAGAGAGAGATAGGAGAGAGAGAGAGAGAGAGAGAGAGAGAGAGAGAGAGAAGAGAAGAGAGAGAGAGAGAGAGAGAAAGAGAGAGAGGCCGATAACCGTGGAGTGGACGCATTTCTCATACGGCACTCCGTTATCGGTGTTCAGTGTCAGTGCGTTTCGGCGCCGGGCTTTTCACGGAATCCAGCATCCTGGCAGCTACCGGAGTTGTCATGCAGGCCCGGGACATCCCTCAAAACCCGCGCCTCTCGAGGTGCGTCGCGTTCGACGCGGTCTTCAATACCTCGTCGCGTATCGGCTTCCCAGAAAAAATCATTCCGTAATCAGAACCCCACTAGGATTTCCAGCAAGTCGCAGTCGAATCGTAAGCCGTTCCCGCCGCCTAGCGCTGTCAAATTTGGTGATGCCCCTTGGTCAGCCGCACCGCGCGGCAGCAGGCTGTCCCTCTCGCACTCACGGGGCGTAGTGCAGAGAGAGACTCTTCGGAATGGTTCGGCAGCACTAGGCTGCCAGTGTAATCCCAGCAATTCGTTGCCCCTGTCCGGCCAGTAGACTGATTCCGAATGGCGTCTCGTCACTCCGTCTCTCTCGCACCGCTGCGGGACAGCCTACGAGTGCGAGAGAGACTGAGCGTTGGACGAGGCGGCCGGGAGCGGTAACGGAGCGGACGGGCACTTTTAAAACGCGTGACACTCTTGTCCGACATCCAGGCAGCACACTCATTCCGTGAGTCGCTCTCGTCGCTCTGTCTCTCTCGCACCTACACGGCACGCCCAGTGAGTGCGAGAGAGACAGAGTGAATCAGCCTGGGCGGCCGGGTAGGCCGCACGTCTGCCTTGAAGGCAGGCAACCCAAATGACGTGTCACTACACTACCGCGCCGCCGTGCCGCCGTCACCCGAACGCAAAAGCGCAGCGAACGCCGGTTTCGAGACACGAAGACTCCGTGTGACTTCAACCCTCAAGTGTGACAAGGTGACCACCGTGCCGTGTGAGGTAGAGCCTCCATCCTCGTCCGTGTCTGCAAGGTACTGTGTGATGTTGCTTGTATTCTCACGTCTGAAGCTGGTGCTCGATAGGCGGTGGGGCAACATAACCCCATTTGCAGCTGTCGGATGTCATTGAGAGCTTTGTCTCTCTCGCACCTTTACGGCACGGCCGAGCGTGCGACAGAGACAGCGACGTAAACACTGTTAAAACCTTACGAGGTATTTTAAGCATACGTATAGCAAACTAAAAAACTTTGTTATACGAAGAAATAGTTCGTAAATTACGACGTATTTTCTTTGTAAGCTTACGTATGCTCAAAATACTTTGTTATACAAACTACTTTTCTTTGTAAGGCCCAAAATAGTTTGTAAGGTTTTCTCAGTGAACGAACCTCGGAATCAATCTGCCGGGCTCAGTAAAGTCCTCTCGTCGCTCTCCGCAGGATGCGAGAGAGACAGCCGACAGGCCGCTGCTCCGAGCGGCGTTCACTGTTGGCCGGCACACTGATTCCGAGAGTGGTTTTCGCCGCTCTGGCCCTCTCATACCTGTGCCTCTGGGGTGCGAGAGAGCCAGAGCGACGCGAACGACTCTCGGAATGAGTCTGCCGGCCACGAGTCGGTGCCCTGGCCGGGCCGGGTCGGTCCGCAGCAGCGGCCGCGCGGGCGGCGGCGCCAGCCGCCACGGTCGGTGGCCGCGGTGCGGCGCGGTGCCGCGGCTGCGCGGTGGCGGCGTGGCGGCGCCCCCCGCGACGCCCGCGCCTCGCCTGGCCGCCCGGCCGGCCGCGCGCCGATTGGCCGACAGCCGTCACTCGGCGCGTCCCATTGGCCGCGACGTCCCCGTCAGGCCGGAGCCTCGCGGCCTCGCGGCGCGGTGGCCCTGGCGGCCCGGCGTCCCCACCGCGGGGCCGCGCCGGGCACCGCGCCACCGCGCCGGCGCTTTGTGGACCGGGCCGCGCTCTGGCCGCGCTCTGGCCGCGCTCGCCGGCCGGGGCGGGGCTGTCGAAGCCTGACGCGCCCCTCCCCTCCCCTCCCGCGGCACCGCGGCGGCGCGGAGGGCGTCGGCGCCGCGCGTTCATTGACACGCCGCGCCGCGCCGCGCGGGGAGGGGAGGGGTCCGCCCGGCCCGCCGAGCCACCGGATTGGTCGACGGAAGTGAATGTCGCCCAACCGCGTCATCCCGAGAGGCGCGGCGCGTGGCGGCCGCGCTGTGTGTGAGTGTGTTTGTGTGTCTGTGTGTGTGTGTCCTTCGTTGCTCTGTCTCTTTCGTGCCCAAACGGGACGCATCCTCAGAGTAAGAGGGACAGACACTGGTAGTAGTTTTAAGTATGTTTCAAGTGTGAAGGTATCATCTGCTAAAAACCTGCATGTTTTTGGAAACCAGCGCGGCTTGACAAGTGTTAGCTCAATGGTTAAACTCACTAAGTCTGTCATCATTTGAAACAGTAACTAATGCACTGGGCGGCGTTGGCGGTCTCGATGTCTCGCTACCCGCGGCAGCGCCAAGGGCAGTGCGGGCC